TCTGTTTAAACTCCCTTTATAGAGATCTCAAAATAAAACTGAAATAATGTAAATATTTAATCTATAATTGAATTGAATAGGCGAACATAAAAACAATACGAGTATAATTAATCTACTCGCTACCATTCTGTTTATAATTTTTTATATATTGTAAATTAATGTTTAAAACAATTAGGTTCCTTGCTAGTTCTTCCCAGGACAAAGGTTTTTTCCACAGTGGCTTTCAATAAGTATTCCTGCAGTCTATATGAAAAAAAATGATTCTATCCTATTCTAGTCTTCTTTATCATGATCATCCACCGTTAGACATGGGCCTCTCCCATAGAAGGAAAGATGGTCGGATAAATCCACACGACGCTTGGCAATTATATTGGCGATCACAGTAATGCCCATTGGCGATCTGTGTTTATCATCATCTTGCATGTCTCATTGTCTTGGTCTTAGCTATATGAAGTTATTGGCTCTCCCTATGATTTTCCTAAAATCTTACTACATCTTACTACAATATGACTGCAACTCGAACTGATTATACCAATACTTTTGAAAAATGACGAAATCATCATGTCGTATTCCCTTGTTTCTTTTATTTTCGATTTGTTTGCTGAACGGCGGAATGATCGGTAAGTTTTAATAAATTTAGAAAGTTCTTAATTAAATTATGGAAAAAATATAGAAACATGGCAGTTGTAGACATAAATTCTTGTACCCTAAAAATATTAGCTTTAGATATAGAGAAAACAGCAATTTTTAAGAAGGTTAGTTCTGACATTTGGGCAATCTTTCCTGCACTTAATGCTTATCAACGAAATAGGCTCTGGCTAAAATTGCTGAAAATTTATTTTAAAATACTGACCATAGATTCCCAGGATTGGAATCATTTGAACACAGCACGTCAGTTCCTCCATTCTTACAAGACTGATTCAGTAGTAGGTTAAAAACAATAAACAATATTATTGCATTTAAAAAATTTTTACCTTCTAAATCTTTATATGTTTTCACTTTTTGTAGGTACAATTATTTTACAAAACAAGCTTATGACAGTCATGTTAATATAATTTATTTGTGATTTTTGAGATAGAGCTTGGAGCGTTTTAATTAGGAGAAATTTATTAGAATAATATACCTTGTATCAGATATTTATATGGTGAGCGAGCCGTTCTATTTATAAACTTAAATTGAGAATCATATTTGGTTGGTTAATAGCGCAACGGTTAATATTTTGGCTGCGGCTAACAACTATCGATTGTATATTCTGCGGCGCTGTCGTGAATTTGTTGCCCAGGCGGAAATAAATTTGACGGAGCAAAGAATGTTCTGTAATGATGCTTAAAGAACATTTTTGCTCTAAAATGACACTTTCATTATAGAACATTCTTTGCTCCGTCATATTTTTTTTACACAACAACAATGTATGTCAAAACATAAAAATATATAAAATGAAAGGTAATAAATGTGTTGCGAACTCGAGCAAATCAGACCCCACAAGCAGCACCTGTTCACAAGTATGACGCATGTGGCAGCCATCGCCCTCCTCGACCAGTTATTTAAAGGGAAGTGGACGACCCGTCACACAACGCCACTGTCGTGACGAGAACCGGACGGAAACCTTTTCACTGGTAACGACGCATTTCAAATTATTCCTCAGAATTTTATATCTGGCATTTACGAAAACTATCTACCTTAAATCTGGTATCGTGTTATTACAAGGTTATACGTTGTAGATGCGTTGTCACCCCTGAGGATTAAGATGGAATGCCGCGTTTCCAGTAAATAAGGTTTCCTGCTATCTACACTCACTATACGAAACACAGCAGCATCAAGCTGCTATTTTACGCTGGTATTCTGTGAAAGCGTGGTACTACCCAGGTCGAGCCGACCCATTTGCGCTACAACCATAATATAGCTGTAAACTTGCTCTGCCACGTTCATTTTTAGAAAATCCGATTTCAATTTTGGAAATTATCAAAACTCTAATTTGTTATTAATTTCCTGATGAACATTTTATCTGCCTCTTGCTAAAAAGTATGCTGTGAAATAAGTATATCGCACTTTTTAATTATTCATTAAGTGTCTGCAGGACTTCTTAAAACGCATAACCGCTCAATCATCATTAAGCGATATCCATACACAAATAAAACAACGTCTGGTTACTTTGATCGGGGATGCCATAATAATTCGACGCATAAATATACTTCCCACAATCGAGTACTTCCTACGTGTGCAATAATAATTACAGCGTCGCAATGCAAACGCCGGGTATCTTTATTTATTATGAGGTCGGCCTTGATATAATTGCATACATATATGATACACTAATTAATAATGTTGTTTCTGTATTATGTTATTAATCATATATACATTATGTATAATGTATATATGATTGAATACAGGTGCCTATCTTATATACATGACTTAGTTCTTCTTTATCTGGTCGTCAATAGTCTACTTTATAAAGGAAAAAGGAATCTGCCTTGTGAAGGATTTGCCATAAATGCAATGCGCTGGCGAGCGTGCGCCAGGTAGCAGGCGGGTATTTTCGTAATTTCGCTGTAACAGAAGTCTAGCGTCTTTGACGCTGCGCTGCTTGAATTTTCCATTCATGTAATTTTATATCTGGAATATACGAAAAAACAATCTACCTTAGATCTGCTAACGTGTTAGTATTAGGTTATACATTGTAAAGCCACGCTGCAGCTATGTTATGGTTGTGGCATAGATGGGTCGTCTCGACTGGGGTAGGACCACGTTTTAATAGAATACCATGTTAAAAATCATCTTAATGCTGCTGTGTTCGTATTATAGGTGTAGGAAACCGGAGACCTTTTTACTGGAAACGAGGCATTCCATTTACGTCCTTGGGGGTGACAATGCATCTGCATTTTGATTTTTCGAGGATAAATGTAGATGTCTTTGGGCAACAGAATCTACTTATCATCAGGTGGACTGTATGCTTTTGTGTTACCCATATTCTATAAAATAAAATATAAACCTTGATACCGTTCTACTTTTTTCCATAAAGTACTCTTATGATACCCAATGAACCAGGAATAATAATTATCTTATGGCGTTGATAAAGCAAACAAAGCCAAATACATAATTATGTATATTATATATAATATTACTCAAATACAGTTCTTTCTAACAGTCTGGATATAATGAACTCGTTTGTATGTATTAAAAAAATGAACGAAGTTCGAACCAAGAAATCCATAATAATATAATTAGGTAAATCGTTCTCCGAGTTAAACTGCGACATAGAGACATAGAGTATAATAACACGTTTGAAGTGAATTATTGCTATTATCACACCGCAGGCGCTTTGCCATTTAACCGGTTTTCAACACTAATAATAATTTATTACCTAAAGTTTTGGAATATATTTCAACATAAATACATTTTAATTGTGTAGTATATTACATAAGTTCAGACTATTAAAACATCAGGTTGATAGGGACTGTATAAAATTATTTGTATTATTAGTATTAGCAATTATTAGAGTGTTTTAGTATTTTTATTTTTAGGTAATTGAAAATTAAAAATATCACACGCACACAGAACACGAATGTTATCTATATTAGGTATCCCCAAACTGATAATGCAAGCGCAGTTTAAACAAGCCCGCAAGAATTAGGTAGGTAGGTCGGTAGGTAGGTAGGTAAGTAATAGCTTAAGCTTTTAGTATACAAAACGGTTTTGTTTGTTTCTGCCAAACCGAATAAATCAAATCATTATCTCCTTGTACGTTTTCCCGATAGCCTTTCTTACAAATAAATGTCGCCTCTATATTTTCATTTATTACATTACATAGGAAACAACATTGTCAAACAAAAGTTGAAAAATATTAAAATTGAAATATATCAAGGAAGCCACACGCCGCACGCCACTTCACTACGAAGATGGTCTATTTGAACAAATGTAGTGATTTCCATATTTTTACTCTTTGAGTACTTACAAGCTTTGATTTTAATAGACATGTCTACATTGTACTACGAGTTAACAAAATTTAAACATTAAACTTTTTTTTAAATACAACGTGCCTGCTGGGTTTTACTACAACCCCTTTGTTATAAGGTTTAACCACTGACCTGTAGGTAGGTATATATTATAGAGGTCAGTGTGTTTACACAACTGTCAAATTGAAACTCCTGTAAGTAAGCCTGTAACATTACTTTTGGTAACGGAGTTCAATCTCTAGGTAAAATAAAACATTGAACGATGGTGAAAATTAAAGGAAAGTTGTAATTTCTTTTTATATGGGAATTTTATAAAATTAATGTTTTTAAAAACCTTATCAACTTCTCAACACTCATTGATCACTACGGTAAAAATAAAAATAAATAACATTGATTATATTCGTGTATACTTAATTTTGATTAAACGTTAATTGCGCCATCTGTTGTGCAGAGGATGAACCATATTCAACATTTGTAACGTCTTAGTATTTCAAAAGATGGCGCTGTAATTCATTAACAATAAAACAAGAAATAAACGACATTAAAACACGAAAAAAAATATTTTAAACAGGTGCACTTGTAACGTTGCTTGCAGGTTGTGTAAGGTGTAATGAAGATGCGAATCTAGATGTAGGTATTTAAAATTTTTAATGAATAAAAATAATTTTAACAAAGTTTTATTCACATTATACCAACTTATTTATGCATACGCTATAGTAAGTAGTAATAAAATAAAAATTCTAATACGCAATAATAAAACTTGTACAATATTTACAATAATAAAAGTCAAAATTATCACAAAGATACTATAATCTCATATATTTATAGTTTAGAAAATAATAATTCCAGTTACGTACTTTAGTTGGCAATAACAGCCTATATAAACGACTAGACTGGCCTAAAGGTCTAGATACCAGGCCATAAGCTCCAAAAAAAAAACGACTAGAGTTGTGACGTCGTGCTGCGCAGCGCAGTTATTTTCGTTTGTGATAGGTAGCCGACATTTTGTTTTGGCTTTGTGACGCAAGCGAAAACGGGAAGTAGAAAATGCCATTGAACGCCGTGGGATGGACTACAGAAGAGGACGAGAGACTTGTTGAATTAGTGAAACCACAGACATGTTTATATAATTATTTTGATCCCTCAAGAAAGAATATTCTCGCTCGAGAAGCAACATGGCAAGAAATAGCTCAAGCCCTGTCTAAACCAGGTAAGATCTCGTATCTCGTATCGTGGAACGTGTATTGGTTCAACTTGTGCTGCATGACATAACTGCAGAGCGTACAAACTCAAACTGTTTGTTACTGCCAAAACATTAACCTATTTTAAAATACCTATGTAAAGAATTTGAAACGAGCGCGGTATTCTAATTATAAAAAAACATTCTGTTTAAAATAGACTGACAATAATAAACGTAGTGGTTATATTCTCTTTGGACAATAATGTGATTTTAGACAAAAAAACCATTGATTAAAAGGTAAAGTGTACTTATGTTGTGTCATATATGTTTGAGTTACTACTCAAAGATCACAAATAAATATTAAATATAACAAATGCAAATAATCTTTAAAAATTCCAAAGGAATTGCAGTAGGATATTAATAAAGAAAAACATGAATGTGATATTCTTAATGCATGTTGTAAGTATAATTAAATATTAACTGATATAGTAGATGTCAAACCTAAAGTACAATTAAATTGAGAGCTGGTAATAAACTTGGAGCTGAAAAATATGAATTTATGTACTTAGCATAAGCAATCAGCAAATTCTGTACATATACAATAAGCAGTCCCCCATATAAATATAAGAATCCTCCATTGTAAATTATAACAATGTGTAAAAACAACTATGCATTTTCAAAAGTATTATTATCTTCTATTTAAGTTGAAGAATGCAAAAAACGCTGGCGTGGCCTCCGTGATGGCTTCATGAGAAGCATGCGAATGGGCACTATACACAAGACAAAAGCCAACATTTTTGAGAAATTGCAATTCTTAGCTGGCACTATACTAGATAATTCAGAAGATATTGAAAAGGAGTCAAATAAAATGGATAATGAAACAATAGAAGAGGAGACAATTCTAGGATCAGTGAGTTCAGAGCAAGTTATTACTGATAATCAGGAATACTATGAGGTAAGATCTTTCATAATATTTCAAAACTACTAACTTCTGTAATGTAAAAGTTTGTTAATTAAAAGAATCAGGTGTTACTGTGCGGAAATCCATTATAATGAATTTGTAACTTAATTTACTTAATTCAATTTGAAATAAAATAATGCACCCTGTCCAGTTTGAAGTGCACCGCTAAGCTTTAACGACTCCGTGGGTTCGAATCCCGCAAGGAACAAGTATATGTATGACCTACCCATAATTGTTCCAGGTCTGGATGTTTGTCCTTGTGTAATTTGTGTTTGTAAACTGCCTATGCGATACAGGAGAAAATCCTAGTGTGGGGGTAATGTTTTAAAAAAAAAGCCATTTGACTTGACTGACTTAGCAGTCAGCCTTCTCAGAGTCTACTACACCTGAGGTTGCCTCGTGTAGAGGTGAAACATGTCTCACATTATAGAGTGGTATGTCGTTCTTATTATGGTGGTTTTGGTAGTGGTAGTGCTGGGGTGGTGGTGACAGGGATAGTTGACGCAATTGGGGGAGGGTGGGAGGTGCTCTTTGAACTGGGCAGGACATAACATTTTATTTCTTTACTTGAAATAAGTAAATTAAGTTATAACAACTTTAGTAAAAGTTTGTATTATAATGTGAAAGTTTTTATTTGAAAACAAATTTACTAGTTTTATTAGTTATGAACACCTTATCACCTTTTTGTACTAGTGATAGGCTAGAGTCCTTTAGATTTTTAATACCTGTTCATTCCTGTTTCTGTCCTACACTTACCTTTTCATATTCAAAAGAAAATTATAATAAATTTTATTAAATAGTAGGTAAATATAAACATGAATACAATACGCTGCAATAAAAATCAACATTTTAATTTACAAAAATCCCAATTTTCTTGTTAATGTCACATTTAAAATATCCAAACTGTTAATTGTTGTTTATCTGAGGCTTTTTATATAGAATAAAGGTGACAAACAAGCACATAGTCCACCTGATGGTAAGTAGATGCTGTGGCCCATTGACACCTACATCTATGCTTGATTAGGAATCTAAGTGAAGATGCATTGTCACCCCTGAGGTTACAGCCTATCTACGTCCCACTGCTGGGCACAGGCCTCCCCTCATGTCTGAGAGGGTTTTAGAGCAAATAAGTGTGCACTGCGCTGCCCCAATGTGTGTTGGCAAACTTCACGTCTTCAAAATAATTTTGTTATTTATCAAACATGCAGGTTTTCTCATGTTTTCCTTCACCGTAGAGCCTGTGGTAAATCAGCATTTAAAATTGCATTTAATAATTTCATTGGTGCTGGTGGGGATCGAACCTGACTTGCTCACATGAAATTTACAGTGGGCGCTAACCATCTCAGCTACCACGGCTCCACCCCTGAGAATTAAGATGGAATGCCTCATTAACAGTAAAAATTGTCTCTGGTTCTCACCACTGACCATATGAAACAGCAGCGTTAAGAAGTTATTTTACATTGGTATTCTGTAAGAGTATGGTCCTTCCCTAGGTGAGCCAACCCATTCATGCTGCAACTATAATTTAGCTGCAGTGTGGTTCTAGCATATATACTCGGATAGTGGCCTCTTACAATACCGACAAGACAGTAGTGGCAGTCTTAGAAATTGGGTGGCAATAAATAAATAATGGATTAAATTATTCCAGAAATAGAACACATTTTACTAAACTTCAAACATCTTTCTGCTAGCTTCTGGTCAACAGTGACCATACATAATGATTTCTAGGAACATACAATAATGACCCTCATTAGCCTATAGAAAATTCACAATAACAGTAAGACATCTTGTACCTATAGTATTACTTAAGGTCATCAGTCTATGTATTTTCCTACATATACTTAATAATAAGATAATAATAATTTGTATTTTGTATCAATTCCAGATTACAGTTGTTGATGGTCCACCAGAGACTCAGGTTAAGCAGAATGCTTTCATAAAAATATTACCAAAGGTGGAGCAGAATACTGGGGAGCCACCTAAAAAAGTGAGCAGACGGGGTGCAGGTAGGAAAAGAAATATGCCTGCCCCTACAAATGTACCTCCAGTTAAGATACTTCCAAAACCACTAATTATGAATGGGCCTAAAACCTACGTGCGATATGTGGAAGACCCAAAAACCACAAAATCTCCTGAACAAAGGTCGCAAGTTATAGATAAGTTAATAGAGAAAGTTCTTAAGGAAAACACAAATGAAGTTGATGTATTTTTCAGGAGCATGGCTGCTAGTGTTAAAAAATTACAACCAAACTTAATTCCAAAAGTGAAAATGGAAGTGTGCAATGTTATAGCCAAATATGAAATGCAAAGTTTTGACAAGAATTTTCAGAACAATATGTAAATTTTAAGTGGTTTTTAAGCTTGTAAATTTTTAAATAAGTGTGACAGGACTTTAAAACACTTTAAAAGTAAAATTATTATAGTGTACAAAATGTGTATGATTTGTATTACAAATCAAGGTTTTTGTATCTCCTGGACAATTAATATTATATTACTTTACATGAAGTTGACTTTTGAGTTAACACAAAGTATTAGAAATTAAACATTTTTTTCTCTAATAACTTTTTTAAAAACAATCATAAGACTGTAAAGAACGCTCAGATTTTATAGAGTGGGGGTAAATTTCACAAGAATTTGTGAGATTATTTTTTACCATTGGATATGGGAGACTGAATTAGCACTTAAATTGCTAACGATTTCAGTTCCTCACTTGATATTGGTAGAATTCTATTCTTCATAGTATGTATTCAACCCAAGATCTTACACCAGTGATACTATTGGAATTGTAATTAAAATTATTTTACTGGTAGCTCTTATTTATATTTTTAATTGCTGAATTATCACATGATCAGTAATGAAGTAAATCATGGTATAGAAATCTACATGTCGGAATTTCTTTAATATTTTGAGTATGCATACCTTGCTCCAAAACCATAACTATCATGAAATTTAAAACCACTACTGTTGGCTTGTTTTCTAAATATGGATATGTGTATTATGGTTCTAACACCCTAATGATCTATTAGGTCTGGCTAGACCCAACATTTGCCCGTAAACACAAATTATAGGATTTTTCATATTTGTTTTGACTATTTCTATGTTTTTAACTCTAACGTCAACCTTTCATGTTATCATCAAGTATTTTAATAGTAGATTTGGACAAATTTTTGGTCCATGTGTGCAGGTATACCTGTTCTCTGTAATATTTCCAGTGCTTATGTCAGCCTCCGCAAATATACCTACTTAAGTTGTGGGGTTGGAGTCATGGTCGAATTCGGTTAAGCTATATGAGATTGGTAACTGATAACACATTTAAGCTGATGAAGTTACTGAGTGGTTTTTATGTGAAATTGTTTATTTATCAATTTATATCCCTGTAAATTTGTAAATAAGTTCTTCATGTCTCTAGCATTACACAACACTGAAATTTTATAAAAAAGACAAAGTAATATTTGCCATAGTTGCCACACTTGAGAGACGGATTGACAACCATAATTTTTTTATTATTCTGAGTTGTCATTAGGAAAACAATGCTACCCATCTCCTGTTTCATCTCTGACGACAACCACGGTTTAATATGGGGTGGTAAATCATATTATGCCACTCCGTGATACAGTGGCTAAGCAATTGAGTTGCAGCGCTCAGGGCCGCGGGTTCAAATCCCACACAGAACAAGTATTTGAAGGCTATACAAGCCTTCAAATAATTGTTCCGGCTCTGGATGTTTGTTCTTGTGTAATTTGTTTGTAAACTGCCCCCACAATACTGGAGAAAATCCAAGTGTGGAGGTTCCGTTCTAAAAAGGAAAAACAAAAGAATATAAAGCTTATTAATTATGTCTAATATCCTCTCTCTGAGGCAATCTATAGGGAAGGCCTATGTTAAGCAGTGTACTTTTGAAAGGCTGTAATGATGATATTATGCACAGTGAATCAATTTTTAGATTTTCCTGGCTTGACTGTCTTCTCAAAGTAATTATGTGCTTGATGACAAATGATTATTCAGTTAGAAATAGATTAAAAATTTAAGATTTAATCTTAATGTCAACTTTAATTGTTGGTACTTGTATATAATTTATCTGAGTTCTATTTGTAAATAAAAAATGTCAAGTAAATATGTAATAAATATTTTAGTAATTTATTGTCTCCCATAACTTAATAAAGTGGAACTTTGTAAGTGGGGCTTGGATTAGCAGAAAACGTTTAAGTTAAGTATTTATTCTGAGGCATCGAGTTTTTGCAAGGAGCAACTCCTATTTGTGAAGCTAAATAAAACTAATAGACCTCTTTATCACAAAATTTTCAATAATTACATCTTGAAATAAAGGAATTTAATACAAACCGAGATTATATTGTTGTAAATATATTTATTTGTATATGTTGTTGTTGTTCCTACACCTTATTTTCAAATTTTATTAATAAGAAATCATGTGAAAACATTTATTTTATTCTAAATCCCAGAAAATGTACAGGAATAGTTTATTATCAAATTTCTAAATTATATTAAACAAACAAATAACATTATTGTAATATAATATATCATTATTATTCATTTATTGCTTATCATTTTAATTAATAGGTACTTTTGGTAAACTGTTGCTACGATCCTTATGTAATTTTTTTTAATATAGGAGAGGGGGCAAACGAGAATATGGCTCACCTGATGGTAAGTGATTACTGCAGCCCATGAACAAATGCAACACCAGGGGAATTGCAGATGCGTTACCGGCCTTTTAAAAAGGAGTAGGCTCTTTTCTTGAAGGTCCCTAAGTCGTATCGGTCCGGAAAAATCTCTGGTGGTAATCGATTCCACAAGGAAGTTGTGCGAGGAAGAAAACTTAAATCGCACAGTAGTGGACCGCCAGTCATCCAGATGGTATGGATGGTATCGCGAGTTTTGTCGCGATGTGCGATTGTGTAATTGTGCGGCTGGAATTAGTCCGAACAATTACTCACAGCACTCTCCGTAGTAAATGCGATAAAATACGCAAAGAGATGCAACATCTCTTCGCAGTGCCAGTGAGTCAAGTCGATCGGAAAGAGTTCGGTCGCCGTCGCCGACGATTCTAACAGCTCTGCGCTGGATGCGATCAAATGGTAGGAGCTGTCTATGGGGAGCCCCAGCACAGAGATGGGAATAGTATTCCATGTGCGGCCGAACCTGCGTCTTGTAAAGTTGCAGGCGATGTGCCAGCATGAAATACTGTCCTGCTCTGCTGGGCACGCCAAGTTTTTTAGAGGCCAATTTGGCCTTCTCTTCCAAGTGACCACGAAAGTATACGTCACTTGCTGAGGCAACAAGGGGAGTGCCTTGAAACTAAGAAGTTACGACAAAGAGGTTCTTTTTAGCGATAAACGCGAAACTTGTGTGTTCTCGGGATTGAACTGGACTAGATTTAGTCGCCCCCAGTCCGAGACTGTTCAACAAATTGTCGACTTCAGGTGCAAGTTTGTCCCGGTAGTCGGCGACGTTTTCCCGAGAAATATTGGCACGGCCGGTATATAAGGCATCACCAGTGCTGTCGTCTGCATAGCAATGAATGCTACCAGTTTGCAACATATCATTGATATGCAGGAGAAACAACGTTGGTGATAGCACGCAGCCTTGTGGAACACCAGCGTTGATAGGCTTGAAATCAGAGCATGCACCGTCTACTACGACCCTTATGCTCCGATCTGCAAGAAAACTGGTGATCCAATTGCACAATTTCTCGGAAAGCCCATAGGATGGAAGCTTCGTAAGAAACGCTTTGTGCCAAACCCGATCGAAGGCTTTCGCTATGTCCAAACTAACGGCCAACGCTTCCCCCTTGGACTCTACTGCCTACATATATACTCAATATGTACTTGAACCAGTATTTTGTTTTATATAAATGACTTTCTGGCCCCGCAAATGTTCTGACTTTTTCTACAATATAAATTGAAAAAATAATAAATCGACCACAATGCTGGGTTCAGATCTTGTGATTTTCTTATTTGGAATTGAATCATATTTTGTGAATATGAGTATTTTTGATCCCTATAGAATTTGTTTATAACTTGACTGTAGTCACCGCCACCGAACTAGCTAAATGATATGATCCATTCTCTCAACAAAATATTATTTTGTGAAATATCCTCAATCGGTCATAGCATAAAGATTCTAACGTGGAAATTTTAACTAGCCCACTGTGGATGATGTTGCCCATAGATGCTTAAATCTATGTGGAATAAAAATTAACGTTTTCACCCTTTTTGTACTGATAAAATATAACATTACCAATAAAACGATCTCTGTTTCTGTACACTCATCATACGAAACACTGGTTATCTGGCTAGCAGCGTTACGCTACCATTTTACACTGGTATTCTGTGAGCAGAATAACAGTAAAAACAGCTGCAGCGAGGCTCTTACCACCAAAACTTCTAATAATAATTTACCGCTATTACGTGCTTACAGTACTATAGTTACTCCGTCATATTCGGCTATTAATATCATCATCATCATTACAGCTCATCACAAGTCCACTGCTGAACATAGGCCCCCCAAAAGAAATGCCACAAGCCACAACGTAACGTATTACGGAAAATCATGCAGACCCATCAATTCATCCCATTTTCAATATAAAAATGCAACCTACTTACAATGGACTCACAGCGGCTTTATTAAAATTGATGTATATTCCCCCATAGCAATATTGAATAACTGTGCAAAGCGAACGACCATCATTGTAGTAATATATTTATAAGTGTATTTATATGCGTGTTTTTATATTTACATTTATGTATACATATTTTCATGTTTTTACGACACTTGCTAAGTTCTGCTTAGCTCGTGGTTGACTGGTAGAATATGCCTAAAGGCATATTCTACCAGCAAGCCATTTTTAATATGTTTTAATAAAAATTATACAATGCGAAAACGAAACGTATATTTTCATGGTTCATAATTATCATATTATATGGGATTTTGTTTAAGCTTTCATGCACTACCGTTACTGATACGGCCTAGCAAAAGTTCGTTGCTGAACTTAGACCTCCCCCATAAATTTCCGCATAGAGGGGATATTTGCCATAGTTTTCATGCTTGGCAGGCGGTTGGCGATCGAAGTTTATTATTTTTTAGTTGTTATTAGGAGGACGCTGCTGCCCATCACCAGGTTTGTTTCCCTCTGTCGCCTCTTACGACATCCACGGCACGATATGGGATAGCTGATATTCATGATAATTATTACACTATTGGCTAATTAGTTCATAGATTAAATATTAGATTTTTAATGTAAATTTATATACCAAGACCGACCACAGAAACAAAAGCTGCCAGTTGCAGCCCAGTATCAACGATACCCAAATCCAAAGGCTG